AATTAAGACAAAAAAATAGTTTTATTTCATCCTTGAATAATCACATCTTTGTTCCAAATAGATGTTTGCATGGTACTTGTTTTCTATTACAGTAAACTTCCAAAAACCTAGCTTCACAGAGATAGGATGCCACCAAAGGGAAGGTAGCACAGTCTCCAACAGCACTGGAACTACCTTGAGTTAGTACATCACAAAGTGTTCAACAGAGGTTGAGTACCACTATTTTCCTCAATATTTCACTTTATTTTATTTTTCTGAGTCAGGGTCTCACTTTGTCACCCAGAGTGGAGTGCAGTGGCACATCATGGCTCCATGCAGCCTCGACCTCCCAAGCTCAGGCAATCCCTCTGTCTCAGCCTCCTGAATAGCTGGGCACACGCCACCATGCCTAGTTAATTTTTTGGTTTTTTGTAGAGATGATGTCTCACCATGTTGCCCAGGCTTGTCTTGAACTCCTGGGCTCAAGCAGTCCTTTCACCATAGCCTCCCAAAATGCTGGAATTACAGGCATGCGCCACTGCACCTGGCTTAAAATTTTAAAATATCTCAATGCCCCCCTGTGAGTTTGTTGCAGCACCCAGGGGCACCTTAGTGCTCAGTGTGGGAACTGGAGGTCTAAGCAATTGGCACAGGCACCTGGTCAAGAGTCTTGAGTTCCGGAGAATGTAATTAAAAACCCAAACATTTTTTAGATCAAATCAGACCTTCTAGATATTTCTGTATTTTGTGTGAGGCAGATTTATTTATTCAACTGGGAAGGACCCCAACTGCATAATATATCTAAATTTAAACTATACTATCTGACCAGAAGCAAATTAACAAGTGATTGGGGTTCAATCAACACCAGCATCGCCCTGCAGCATGTCTTGCCTCTGCCATACTGAGGGGGAAGGCTTTAACTTTTACATGTTCTTCCTTTTCTGTTATTTCTCTGTAGTCTTTGTAGTACCGGTGTGAAAGGGTATCTAATGTCTTTGTGTCAGGAAAGGCCTATTTATTCTGACAAACTGATCAACCTCCAGGGTGTTCCTCTACCATGAAACTGATTTTATATCTCATCCCCTAGCTAATAAGATGTGAAGGGTTTTCCTGCCACACCAAGAGATCAGACTCACTTCCCCAGAAAGCAGCAGGGAGATCCCACAGCCAGCTCTCCACAACTGAGCCTTACAGTCACATATTTTTTTCAACAGAGCGATGGGTGTGGGATAAACCTAAAGACCAGCAGATACATTCTTTTAAATTAAGAGGAAGCCCTAGGACCCAACTCACAATTCACTGGATTTCCATTTAGTTCAGAGAAAACAACCTGACACACACACCCTCTCCCACCCACCTGAACCTTTCGATGAGGTTTACATCCCACAAAATTTGAGTTCAGTGTCTGCTGTGAGAAGAAATAAAAATAGAATACATTGGAAGTGCCAACTCGAAAATTAATTGTAGCAAAACTCTGTAGAAGAGGCCATTTTCTTATAGAATCTTTTCCTTTTTTTGTCTCTAATGTCCTATGATTAATATATTTTTCAAATGACTTTTTAAAACAAGAAATTGGGCACAGGGAAAGAGAAAAGTCTGTGTGTGCGTGAAGGAGACAGCGTGAAGGAAAAACTGTCTTAGGTAAAACGTTCTTTTTGTCTGTTTGTTTGTTTGTTTGTTTTTGAGTTGGAGTCTCACTCTGTCGCCCAGGCTGGAGTGCAGTGGCACACTAACAGCCACTACAGCCTCGACCTGCTGGGCTCCGGCGATCCTTCCGCCTCACCCTTCCAACTAGCTGGAACTACAGGCGCGCGCTACCACGCCCAGCTAATTTTTGATTTATTGTAGAGATGAGGTCTTTCCAAGTTGCCCAGGCAGGTCTCGAACCCACGGGCTCAGGCAATTCACTCACCCCAGCCTCCCAAAGCGCTGGGATTACAGACTGAGACACCGAGCCTGGCGGTAAAATGCTCTTTTGGAGGCAAGAAGGAATGGTGATCTATTTTGGGACAGAGTTGGTTTGACAAGGGAACCCAAAAAAACCCAAATTGTCTTTCTTTTTCCTTGGAGGGCAGGCCCCTTTTAGTACAGGCTTCTCCTACTAGGTAAGTGTTCTAGGAACCCACCAGCATCAGTGTACCAGCTAGCATTGTTATGAGAGGCTGAATTTGGTTCAGTGGATTACTTTGTAGAGATTCTTTCAACATGTTTGTCCATTACATCATGGGTGATTTACAAGTGCACCTGCCCACACTGCACTGAGTGTTGGGCAGTTTTTGACACAAAATGGCATGGCTCCCATGCCCCACCCTCCCTATTCACCCGATCTCGCCCCGAGTTCCTTTTTTTGTTTGTTTGTTTCCCTGATGAACATAGTCCTCAAAGAAAAATGTTTTGCTGATGTGGAAGAGGGGAAACAAAAAAGAGCAGAAGCTCTAAAAGGCTTCAAAACAGACAAGTTCAAAAACTGTTTTGAGCAGTGGAAAATGTGTCCCAATCAGTGTACTTCATCAAACAGAGAGTCCTTTGTAGGTGACTGAAGTTTAAACATGTAAGAATAAAGATGCAATTTTTAATAAATAAATTCCAAGGGTTTGGGGAGGGTCCCCCTCATAGATCCTATTTGTTTTTGTTTTTCATTGAAATCAGCCTTGTCTTAGGTAAAACTGGTCTAAATTTCTGGCTTATGCTGCAGAATATTAGTCTGAGAACTTTTAAGCCTCTGAAAAGCTTTTGATTCTTCTAGACATTTGGTGTTATTACTGGATCAGTGCTTTAATGCTGTCTAAAAACCACCCCAAACTTAGTGATATAAAACAACAACAATCCATTTGTCGCATGACCCAGTCACACAACTGGCAATTCGTCACAGCTTTTGTTGAGACCAAGGTCCTAGTTCCTCTCTATGTGGGCATCTCCGTGGGTCGTTGGGCTCCCTCACCGCTTGGTGACTGGGCTTCAAAAGCAAACATCGCAGCAGGAAATGGAAACTGCCAGTCTTAAAGCCTGGACTTACAAAGTGACAAATCATCACCTGCACCATATTCTTTTTTTTAATGTGGGGTACAGTTCAGGGTTAAGTACATAAGTGGTCATCTCACAGGTAAAGTGTGAGTACCCTTATCGATGGACCTGGCAGTGTCCCACTACCGCCAGCCACTTTCTAATAGTATTATGATAAATGTTCAGGATCTACTCACGAGTAAGGACACTTGGTACTCAGATCCTTGCTTCTGTGATATATCACTGAGTATTATAGACTCGAATTCCATCCTGGTTGCTGCGAAGTTCATAATTTTGTTTTTCTTTATGGCTGTGTAATATTCCATCATGTAAATATACCACATTTTCTTCATCCGGTCCACTTTCAATGGGCAGCACGGTTGGTTCCATGTTTTAGCTATTGTGAATAATGCTGCAATAATCTTGTGTGTGCCTGTACCATATTTCATATTCTAATGGTCAAATAGTCACCATATCTGGGTTTCTGTGGAAGAGACATCAAGCCTGTCTTTCAATGGGAAGCATCTATGCCTCAAGACCACCACCATCATCTACACCCCATACTCATGGATGGCACGCTCTTCTCTGCTGAAACATGATCTCTGAATACAGTTTCTGTTTTGGGAGATGTTATACCCCCGCCCTGGGAGAACTAGTTACAGAAATGTGCATGGAAAGGAACCAGTTTTCTAGTGAAGAAACACTTTTCTCAACTGTGAAATGAGGTAGAGGAAAAACAGTCCCTGGCTGGCTTCATTTCCTATAAGTTGAGAACACATCGCATGCCAGGCGTAGTTGCAGCCACTTAGCTTATCTATCTCACCCACCTCTCACACTGGTCATGTGAGATCATTATCATTGTTATCTTGGTTTTCAGAGGGGGATATCTGAGGCACAGAAACCAAGGTGGCTTTCCCAAGGTGTTTCAGGTGGTGAGTGATGGGAAGATGCCTTCTGTTCAGTGTGACCCACTGCAGACCCACACCCTCAGCCATGGCAGCAACATGTGGAGCACAGCCGGTGACAGTGAAAATGGGAAGTGCTTTCTGGAAGGGTCCAATGATTCCAGACAGCCTTGATCGAGCCTTGCTGGCATTCACTCTTTCAGCTCTCTTCTTTGTAAGATGAAAAGTGGTAGGCAGTTGGTCCCTTGGGTATCTTCCGTTCCATGGTATGTGAACACTGAGGAGTGCTAGTGCCTAGTGAGAAGACCACTGCAGCCCCGGGGCTGCCATAACAGAGGACCACAGACCAGGTGGCTTAAAGCAACAGGGATTATTTCTCACAGTTCTGGAGGCCAGAAGTCCAAGATCAAGATCTTGAAAAATGTGGTTTCTCCAGAGGTCTCTCTCCTTGGCTTGCCGATGGCCGTCTTCTCACTGTGTCATCATGTTGTCATCCCTCATTCTGTGCATCTGTGTCCTAATCTCTCCGTATAAGGACACTAGTCAGACTGGATGAGGCCTACCCTTAACAACCTCACTTTACCCTACCACTTTAAAGGCCCTGTCTTCAAATACAGTCACATTCTTGGGTACCGCATCAACATATGAATTTTGGAGGGAAGAATTCAACCCACAACATCACATTTCTTCTTTTCATAAAAAGGCTTTTAAGACAAAAATAAGCTCATTGACATGGGCATATAAATCTTCTGTGCATGTAAACAAATACTGAATGTGAAATTCCTAAATGGAGTTGTTTTCCTCATCTTCTAATACTTTGCTGCAGGTATTTCTTTGCATAGCTGTGTCTTCTGCTAGACCGGAAACGTCTTGAAGAAAGGAAATGTGGCCCATCATTCATCTTTGTAGCCTCATTACAATGCTTGGAACATTCTTTAGTAAAGAGGGAACAAGCCCATCAAACTATAACTTGATTTCTCTTTGCAAAAGTATGCTGGCATAGAAAGTATCACACAAGTCAGAGGAATGAATATACCAAGTTTGGAAAAGGAAAAATGCGTCATGGCCGAGTGCAGCCAAATGTTTCTGATTAACGATGTTGCTCTCTTGCAGTTTGTTTTCTGCCGGGAGTGTAAGGAGGCGTACCATGAAGGGGAATGCAGCGCCCTCCTCGAAGCCTCAGGAACAGCTGCTCAGGTACAGGATTCTGGTTGTAGCTAGTAAAATGTCACATGGGTATAGTAATCCATTTTCTGGAAATCTCTCTCCAGGGGGTGACTAGTGCATCTAATAGGCTGAATCGTGTCCCCTCCCCCAGAATTCATATGTTGAAGTTCTAACTCTCTGTGTCTCAGAATGTCCACATCCTTGTCAACATTTGTTATTTTCTGGTTTTTTTTTTAATAGAAGCTCTCCTAATGGGTATGAGGTAGTATTCCAGTTACTGTATTAATCTTTGCCTATTATCTGCAGTGTTTTGACCCTAAATGTTTAATGTAATTATTGACATGATTGCAAAGCAAGGCTCAGGACAAATGCTGGGGACTAGAGCTGTTTCCTGGAGTCATCTAAAGTTCTCTCTGAAAAAGAAGGAAGCAGACTGGTAGCTGACAGCCATGGAATGGGGCTCTGGCTTCTCCCAGACCTACTTCCTCTTTGGAGTAAAATGTAGATTTCCCGATGGCCATTCGGGATGCTTCCAGATCATTTTTCCCCAGGTAGTATGACCCTATTCCATGAGGAGGCATATTAGCATGACCAGAAGGAGTCATTAGAGGGGAGGTCAATGTACCAATCTCTAAACCAAAGACATCAACACCACCTCTACTTATATTTTTTAATGCCCTCATTTATGATCTTTAGTGAAAACAATATCCACAAATGACATGTACAGAAGTATTCTATTATGCAAGATATCATTGTTTTTTAGCAATATCATGCCTATGCTAAATAGTACTGAAGTACTCTTCAGTCCTGATTAAGTGAAGAACCTGTTTACTGAGCCTTGATCCCTGAGGCACTATCCTACGTTTTGGGAAATGCAAATATGTTTTCTTGTATTTATTAATTATGATTGACCAGACCTTAGGAGAAAGAGTAAAAACTTCATCACAGTTAATAGAATTGCTTGTTATTTATCTCTTGATGTAGATGTTAGCAAAGGCTTAAATGCTAAATCTATGTGGATAAATCTGTTAGTCATTGTATCGATACAAGCCTAGAAATAGACATAGAAAGCCCAGAACATTTTAATTTTACAGTAGAGAATACTAAAGATCCTGCCACTCTAAAATCAGAGTACAGAGAAGTGCATCCCTGTGTGGTATTCTGCATGCGTGTTTACCCAATATTAGCATAACTAAATAATGTCGCTGGTGAATTCAGGTCTTCCCATCAACTCTTGCATGGTCGACCATGAGCACTTTGGGAGATTTAGTACTGAGCTGCTATTTCCATAGCAGAGGCAACAATCGCTCTTTCTGTTGGTTTTATTTTTGCTCAGGGACATTCACTGCAAGCTCACTAGGTACAGACAGCAGGAGTAATAATAGCCCTAGACCTAGCCCTGCCTCCAGATCACTGTAGGGAGGAGAGGAGGCCTGAGGCTCTGGGAAATGGAGTTCATCTAGCAATTTACATCCATATGCTCTTATGACCGCACATACAGACGAAGGCTTCCAAGAAGCGAACATGTACGTTGGAAACCGTAGCCATCAGGGGAAGAAGAGTGGTATTAACCTAAAGTTGTCCAGGCACCTGACTCTCCGCAAAATCCCATTCAGTCTTCATTCAAGGGGAACCATCCAACCTTGTTGTTAAACACTGAGGTAGCCCTGACCTGACATAGTTGCTCACGCCTGTAATTCCAGCACATTAGGAGGCTGAGACAGGAAGATCGCTTGAGGAGTTTGAGACCAGCCTGGGCAATATAGCAAGATCCCATCTATACAAAAAAATTTTTGAAAATTAGCCAGCTGTGGTGGCATGTGCCTGTTGTCCCAGCTTCTCTGAAGGTTGAGCCAGGAGGATCACTTGAGCCCAGGAATTCAGCTACAGTAAGTTATGATGGTGCCACTGCTCTCTAGCCGGTGTGACAGAGTGAGTCCCTGTCTTTAAAAATTATAAGTTTAAAAAAAAAAAAAAGATTGAGGTAGCCCAATTTTTTAAAGTCATTAAAACCTTAATACTGAAGTCGAGGCCGAGCATGGTGGCTCAAGCCTGTAATCCCAACACTTTGGGAGGCTGATGCGAGAGGATTGCCTGAGCTCAGAGGTCCGAGAACAGCCTGGGCAACTTGGTGAGACCTCATCTCTACAATAAGTCAAAAAATTAGCTGGGTATGGCGGTGCATGCATGGTAGCGCACACCTGTAGTTTCAGCTGTTTGGAAGGCTGTAGCGGAGGGATCACCTGAGCCCAGCAGTTCGAGGCTGCAGTGGCCATGATCGTGCCACTGCCAACTTGAATGACAGAGTGAGACTTCAACAAGGAAGGAAGGAAGGAAGGGAGAAAGGGAGGAAGGAAGGGAGAAAGGGAGGAAGGAAGGGAGAAAGGGAGGAAGGAAGGGAGAAAGTAAGTTATTTTGTTCATTCCACAGATGTGTATTAAACACCAACGATATGTTAGGCATTACTCTAGGCCCTCAGGAGAAGGAGCAAGATACTGTCTCTGCTCCCATGGAGTTTCTGTGACTTCATTAGTTTACATAGACGATTCATCTGATAGACATTCTGAGGGGGTTTAGTTAATCCAGGCCAGAATTATCCAAGAAAGAACTCAGGACGAGGTGGTCCTGCAGCTGGACCTCCCTGAAATGAGACTCCTTGTGTTTCTAGCTCTTGGTCACAGGGCCAGCCTCCCAGTTTTCTTATTTGAAAACAAAATAGGCCGGGCACGGTGGCTCATGCCTGTAATCCCAACACTTTGGGAGGTTAAGGCAGGAGGATAGCTTGAGCCCAGGAGTTGGAGACTAACCTGAGCAACACAGCGAGACCTCATCTTCACCTAAACACACACACACACACACACACACACACACACACACACCCATATACACAATTAGCCAGGTATGGTGACACACACCAGCTACTCGGGACTTCACAGACCTGAGGTATTTGAGAGGACACTGCACATCTAACAGTAAAGACCTAATGGCAGCGCTCCTTGGAACTGAAGCCTCTGGGTATGTCCTCATATCTGAATTTTGATGATACTAACAAAACACCCTTCTTTCTCTGCATTTTCCTTTCAATTCCATTCACCTGCAGGGGTTTGGCTTTGAGCCACAAGTGTCCTCACCCACCGTCCTTCCCCAGAGCTGTGGGTTTCCAGTCTTGGCCATCACATTCTCCAGCCAGGCAAGCCCATCGCCCTTGGGTCCCAATCAGTTTTTCCTGTCCATTAGAATGCTTGACCCAAAGCTGAATGCATTTTTTGATGAATGCAATAATTTTTTTAAAAGCAAACTCAAAATTGGTTTTCAATTGGTTTTCAAATATTAAACAAGCTTTGGGTTGCAACTGCTGGGAGTTTGGCAAGGCAGTGACAGAAGATCAATCCATCACCAGCTAACAAGGGGCCAATCTCATCTGCTTTCCTTGCTCTCCTCCCTTGTTCTGGTTCCTTCCACATATTCCCCCCGGGGGCTTTCTAATAACAAAACACTTGCTCTTACAAACCACATCCATTGATTCATTCCCCCAGTGGTTCTAAGTAGTTGATGTGACTCTCCCCATGCAACAGGAGGGCAGACTGAGACTCCCAGAGTTTTAGTGGTGCTATCTAAAGCCATGAAGGAGATCAATTTCAGTGGCTGCACTTGGTCTAAGTAGTTTGGGAGTGGCAACTATTCTCTATAATTAATATAATGCAGTGTATAAGGGGAATATGGCCAGCCCTGCTTACCAATCTCCTACTCGATCTTTAAGACCCAGATCACCTGTCACCTCCTCCATGAAGTTGTCTGCCCACCCTGCCACCTCCTCCAAGTATGTACACCTCAACTGTGCATAGTTCTGTTATACACTCATCACACTGGAATTTTGTGTCTCTGACTCTTCACTAAAAGTCTGGGCTTAGCCGGGCTCGGTGACTCAGCCTGTAATCCCACGCCTTTGGGAGGCTGAGGTGAGTGGATTGCCTGAGCCCACGGGTTCGAGACCCACCTGGGCAGCGAGACCTCATCTCTACAATAAATTAAAAAATCAGCCGGGCGTGGTAGTGCATGCCTGTAATTCTGGCTAATTGTAAGGCTGAGGCGGAAGGATCACTGGAGCCCAGCAGGTCGAGGCTGCGGTGGCCGGGAGCGGCCACTGTACTCCAGTCTGAGTGACAGAGTGAGACTCCAACTCAAAAAAAAAAAAAAAAAGTCTGGGCTTTGTTAGTGCAGGGTTTCTACTTACTATATTATTATATCTCCTTCAGAGCCTGGTATACAGTAGGTACTCATTAATTTTTTTTTTTTTTTTGAATCAAGGTCTCACTCTGTCAACCAGGCTGGTGTGCAGTGGCACTATCAGAGCTCACAGCAACCTTGACCTCCTGGGCTCAATGGATCCTCTCACTTCAGCCTAGTAGCTGGGACTACAGATATATACCACCATATCAGACTAATTTCCCCAGGCTATTTTTAAAACTTTTTTGCATAGACGAGGTCTCACCATTGCCCAAGCTGGTCTTGAACTCCTGGACTCAAGCAGTCCTCCTGCCTTGGTCTCCCAAATTGCTGGGATTACACGCTTGAGCCACTGCACCTGGCCTTGTTAAATGTTTGTTGAATAAATGCCAACTCCCTCCTTTATCCCCACACCTCCTTCCTCATGACGAAGCTGGACAGCACTCAAAAGGAATAGCAGTAGCTTCAGGGCCGGCCTTTGCCTCGGTAACTTTTAAATCGTAAGAGAAAATAAGATTCCCACAGGAAACCTCGGTTCCCTCCATCTGCCTCCTAAATTAGAAAGAAAAAGCCTCTATTTTGCCTGGGATAAAAATAATCACGTACACTCATATGGTACTTGTGCACAAAGCGCTTTCAAACCCACCATCTTGTTTTGAACCTCATCTCAACTCTTTGTGATAGACTTCAATTATGGACAACCTACAGGGAGAAGGAGTAGCCCGCCTGGGGCAGAGAGCTCATTATCCCCAGGTCAGAATGTCACCCAGGTCTTGGGATACTGTACACTCCAAGTCTGTACA